ACATTTTACTTCTAAAGAAGATAATGAGTCACATTTCAAGTGGCTTCCAAGTCCATGCCTGTAGCATAGACACATACACGTGGGAAATTTGAGAACTGCAAATTCAGGGACTGATTCTGGAAATCTGGGTGAGTCTATGGTTTAATAACACTTTGAACAAATTTAGTATGTTAATGATGATTTCAATATAATTTCATTCACATCTTTCATTCACTGCCTGTCCTTTATTTTTACTACTTGAACATTATTCTGTGGTTCTTGATTGCAGAATGAATTCCAGGTATGTTTTCACAATATGCTGTGAACATTTCCGTGTCATAGAATCATAGAATCACAGAGTGGTTTGGGTTGGAAAGGACCTTAAAATCATCCAGTTCCACCCTCCTGCCATGGGCAGGAACACCTTCTGCTAGACCAGCAGGCCCAGGCTGCTTAAACCCCCATCCAGCCTGGCTTTGAACACTGCCAGGGATGGGGCAGCCACAGCTTCTCTGGGCGACCTATGCAAGTGCCTCACCGCTCTCACAATAAAGCATTTTGTCCTAATGCCTAATGTAAATCTCCCCTCTGTCACTTTAAAGCCATTGCCCCTTGTCCTGTCACTACATGTCCTTGTAAAATGCCCCTCTCCAGATTTCTTATAGGCCCCCTTTAGGTACTGGAAGTTGCTCTAAGGTCTCCCTGGAGCCTTCTCTTCTCCAAGCTGAACAAAATGAAAAGTCATTCAAAGCATGCCAGGGTAGTCTGCAGATGGTCAGCAGGACATTTCACTAGAGTACTTCCTCCTTTTGACACACTCTCAAAATGCTCAATCAACCAGAGGGGACCTACGCTTTCAATCATGTATCAGTTTATGTATAAAAGGACAGTGAATAGTACTGCAACACAAATTCTGCTGTGAGAAAGGCATCCCTACCAAAAGCATGAAAATGCTACTAAATGACTAGAATGCCTAACCCAGTGTCCTGCCAGCTCCGCGGCACTCCTATCAACGACTGCCAGCAGAATCATAATTCTTTCAAGTGCAATATGCGCTGGAACAGGGGAACATACGTCGCAGGAGGCTGCTATCTCCAACAGAAGTACAGAAACACTTGAAAAGGAAAAAAAGAAAAAGAAAGAGAAAAACAGAAAACCCCTGTGTGGTGGTCAGTATTTGAAATCACCAACTAAGATGGCAAAACCAGGATTTCCTCTGCATTTCCACATATTAAAATTCCTTCCATTTAATAGGATGTACAGCAATACTGAACGTATCTTCTCTTTATAAACAAGAAATTTGGCAAATTTTTAGTGTTAGTACCTTATTTTCTCCAGAAAACATATGAAAGCCTCATTTATATTTGATCACGTTAAAATTCTCTTAAAGCTGAACTTCACATTTAGGCATAAAATTGGTCAAAAATAAACTAGAGGTTGGGAGAAAGAAATCTGTTAGCAATGATCTGAGTAAGCCTATGACTCTCTTTGGCTGCAATATTCCTTTTCATTTATGTAAGTAAGCTGCTTCAATGGCTAAGTATTCTTGGTGAGAAAACATCAGCCTTGATCAAACACTGAGGGCAGGCAGTCTCCTCTAAAGATATGGCCTTGACCAAGAATGGGGAGCCAACAACTGTTCTCAGCAGCCCAAGTTTGAGATCTGGATGGAAAGGAGAGGAATGTAAGCAGCAGAGCAAAACCCACAGTATATCACACATGTCAGTTTATCTACAGCACCTCCAGGAAACTACATAAACATGGAAATAAACCTGAAAACTCTGGGTTTTTATAATGGACTCAGTTTACACTGTGTATACCATAAAAAGACTTGAAATTCTGCTAGCACATCATCTAAAGTGCTGTGATAGTGAAAAGGTATTGTTTGCAAAGGGGAGTCAGTTTTTCCTCACTCCTACACTGCTCAGCTCTACTCTCTGAATGGTGTAGGCTCCATATCGTGACTTAAAGTATCCAGCCTTCTGGATTTTCATACTGGTAATGTTATCATACCCTGATCTTTTGAGAAGTATTTTTCTTTCAAGTTACTTCTCATTATTCTAGACAGCATCACTTGGAAGATATTTAAGAAAAGCAAGGGGGAAGTCTCCAGGGAAGAAATCTGTAGACTCCTTTCTTTGACTTTGCATTCCTTTGCAAACTACTTAATGCATGTTCAGCAGACTGAAACATTGCTCAGTTGTGCTCTGAACAGAAATAAGGATTTTCTAGAGGAGATTTAAAACAGTTACAGAGGGAACATTACCTTCAAACAGACATGGAAAACTAATGATGCTGCACTAAAAAGTAATTAAAGTTACTGCGGGGGCTTTGCCCTCAAGGAGGTAAATTACTATAAGCCCCACAGAAACAAAAGCTGCAATATGGTAAAATTATATTGCAGTAATCTGCCTATCCAGAAAAGTGAGTGGAGAAAACCTAAATGTAAAGTATAAATTAAAACACCCCAGTCTTCATAAACATGGAAATTTCTGATTGCAACTGCTAAGGAAGCAGATGAGATACATATTCCTAGAGGCATTCATTGATGTAAAGAAAATTGAATGCTCTGGAGCTGAACAACAGGTTAAAAATAACAGGCTTATTGTGTTGGAAAGTCAAACTACAGGTATTCATAACAGCTACAGTATTCACTTTTCTACACAGCTTTATGGGATCAGACAGTTAAAAAGGAAAAAACCTGAACTACCTTTTTCATTTTCTGTTAATGTGCTAGCTTCACTGGAAATAAGCATGTTCCCCTTTTGCAGGATCTTCCTGTTAGTAACAGTTGCACATAAATAAAGTTTTCTAAACAAACATCTTATCTTTTTATGGAAGGAAGTCCATTAATAAGGAATTGACGTCCTTCCCTGAAAAAAAAGATCACTGCTAATTCTTTCCCATAAACTGAAGAAATAAACTTACACCCTGAGAGTTCTTACTCTATTTTCACAGCAAACTGGATAGTCTGCACGTAGATAAAATAGAACTATTTGGGTTTTCTTACAAACAATACCTCTGTTGCTACCTTGCCACACAATACTGAATAATTAATCTCTTCCCATGGTTTTCTATTGCTTCATGGAACTTGTGCTTCATTTCAATTGTACTCCACACATTCCTGTTCAAACTACAGGGCAGCTTGTGAACACCTTTCAGCCTAGGAATTCAGAAGCATACCAAAACTGTTTAATATTTTGACATATACAACCGTTCTCAGAAAGATGCTCTTTACCCAACAGATGCAACCAGACTCTAGCAACTATGGCCATAATCTGCTTTGCTCTCCACTGGCTTTGTCAACTACACAAGACATTTCTGTTGCCCAAAATTAACTTTGTCATAGAAAAAACTCTGATGCAACCTTCATCTATTTCCCTTCTTCAAAACAGCTTTTTCTTTAGACTAAGAGAATTTGAAATTGACACTGTATTGCATGCTACTTGTGAAAAATAAAATAAATACTTTCCACCCAATGCCTTCAGAAAGCCAGCACTTTAACCTATTAGCAACAATAATGGAAATATAAATGTTAACTTGTTTAAAAAGAGTTTGTATTTTCAGTGTTGTTGTGCAATAGAATTCAAAATATCATTGCCACACTTCAGGGAGATGAGCCTAAGAGAATGGCAAAATAATATAGTCTGTGATTACCACACTTGTATAAACTTAAAGAGTTATAATGACACAGTACTTTTGTACTAAAATATCTATTTATCTTAAATACAATGTTTAACTCTGTAGGACACAAGAAACCTCATCAGAATACTTACAGTAGGAATTTCAAAAGGAAATTGTAAAAAGTGCACCAAATGTTTCAACATTGTTGTTTCTCTTCAGCTGTGTCTATACATGAGTGCTATTTCAAAGGCACCTAGTTCAATTCTGAAAGATAAAACACTGCCATATTCCAGCAATCATATTTTAAAGATCTTAAGAAAGGGAAAATTAGATTCCACAGTCCTTTATGAAGAACATGCATCAACTTTTCTTGCTCAATGCTTCAATGGAGAAGGCATTTATTTACCATATGTCTTAATGCAGATATATAAGAGTCATAGGGAGTAAGACTGAGCCCTAGACTCCTCCTCTATACTGAACTCAAAAGATTCATTCCTGACTCTATTTTGCACTAAAATAGGTTTCCAAAGATCAGTCTGCTAGAGAGGTGATAAGACCTAAGCAGATAGTCAGTCCACATTACACAACCTTGAAGGTATTGGTTCCTTGCATTCTTATTTGGAATGGCTTTATATACTGACTTTTACAGTGTTATATTTAGAACGTAATACTTTTGTTGATGGTGGAACTAGAAGTCTTAATGTGCTTGTGCCTATTTAGTAACATACATACCTGAAAGTCACTATAAAAACAAGAACAATTTCCTTTTCCCTTAACTCCATTCTTTTCAAGGGGTTAAGTCTTCAGAAAGGTTTTTCCCCATTTCTTTTTAATTCTTGGTAACTGTATTGCGGAACAGTGACCTTTTTTAAAAGCAAAACCAGAGCACTGCTTTGAAAGGTAACATGGTACGACTCAGAAAGCAGAGCAGATCTTCTGGTATCCCATGACAGCACCAGAAACAGGGATGTAGGTGACAGCCTGACAAGTTTCTGGGCAAAACAGTACAATGGAGATTTTTATCAGTCATTACAACTGTCACCCATTTTCAAGGACTGTCCTGGCCAATAAGGATACCACGTCACGCTATACAATTTCCAGCTTTTCTGCCTTAATTTTTCTTCACTGTCCTTCTTTTAGCATAATGCCTCACAAAATTTTTCTGATTTACAAAGATTCTTGACATGGGATAAAGCTTGAGGCAGTCTCAAGAAAGCTCAGTAAATATTTACAGAACTCCAAGACTTTTGGATATTTTATTTTGTAAGATCAAGAGTTTTGGTGAGCTACAGCTAATGGCTAGCCAAAATATCTGTGAATTACTTTAGCTCTGATGAATGAACTAATGGTAGCCAGCACTTCAAGCAAAGCAGCTCATTCTGTGGTGTCGCTGTTACCTGTGCTGCTGTCTTTTCTTGTCTACTCATCTCCATGTTCTGCAATGCAGGTGTAACAACCGGTGGAGGAGGTGCTCTGCGCTTTTTCACTTCTGGGTTTGCTGTCATTCCTGAGATGTTACCAAGAGACAGTGATGAACCCAGGCTACTGCAACGAGAATTCACCGAAGGGGAATTTGGTGCCGTGGAAAAACCCTGTAAATGGATTAACATCTTGGATTAACATCACTTTCTAAAAACAATGGGAAAGAAAGAAGGAAAACAAGACACATCTGGTTACCATTTAAACAACGATATGAATAATCACA